ATAAATATGCTGATTATTTAACTGACAATTAAATCTCCAAAAGAAGTATGTTTCCCCCAACAATATGGTCCAATTTCAGTGCAAGTTTTTTTCAACAACACAATCGTGAATATTTTTAAACACATTTGAATGAACAATAGATATCACATCCAAACATTTCCATATTTTTAAAAATGTCAATAAAAAATTTTCAAAACAACGAATACATTCTAATTGACAGTCACAACTTATGGGTCCGCACAAACATATCTGATGTAATATAAAAAAAAACATATAAATAACATTATTAACGAATACAAACACAAATTGATTTCAAAAATGATCTTTTTAAAAAATGTATTTAACAATTATTAAAAATAATGGATACTAAATAATTATTCAGAAATATTTGACTATATATATTATATTGCAAAACAAATTAAATATTAATCTAAAAATTAAGTTAAACAATTAAAATTTTTTTTTCTTTGTAACTCTAAATGGTTCTCAAACTATAACATTTAGATTGAGAGTTGGTTGAAGTGTTTTGCGGAAACGACTCACTACCCCCCACTCCTCGAGTCAGAGCATGTCATATTAGAAAAAATAGAAAAATTAAAAATAATCTACAAAGGATATAGAAAATATTGATAAATTAGATAAATTGAGTAAATTGAGTCAATGTCAATTATATTGTTAATAATTATAAATATTTTAGTTAATAATCTGTTTCAAAATTTTAAAAATCAATGAAAACAGGAAAAATTTTAAATAATAAAAATAAAAAATATAAAAATAATTTTGGATGAAAAAATAATTATGTCATTATTACAGCCAAAAACTCATGTTATATCTAATCATAAACATATTTGTAAATAGACAGCAGTAATAAATGATAAAAAAATAAAAAATAGTCAATATATATAAAAAGATGAAACAGCCATATTGTAAAAATAAAAATAAAAATAAAAATAAAAAAATTATAATAAGCAATAAGGGCTGTAAGAAATATTAATAAATAAGATAAATTGAGTTAATGTTGATTGATTTAATGACAAATTTAATCTGTTTCAAAAATGTAAAATAAAAATTTTAAAAATCATTAAGAACAGTAGTAATTATAAATAATAATAAAAAATAATGAATTCATAAAATAATTTTATAGGTACCTCCTCATCATTAGTCATCCTAATACACAAAAAAAAAAATCTCAGAATATTAGCAACCCCAAAAATATTTCACTCCAGTCACGTAAATCAATCTTATCCGGATATGTTGCTCTGACTTTTCTCTCAGAATTGATGCAATGTCGAGAATTGATTCATTTTTACCATCCCAAATGTTGATGGAGACAGAAAAATAACAAACCTTTCATTGTAAAATCAATAAATTCATTCATTATATCAGAATCTAAAATAACTAATAATCAAAATGTATAATAAGTTAGTTGAAATATCACTCTGTTTTACAGTCAAAAACTTAAGTTTGTATATAATTAAAAATATTTCGGTAAATAGACACAGAAGTGACAATTAATAATGATAAAAATAATAAATAGACACATCAAATACTTTAGATGAAATGTGAAAAATGTCAGAATACAATTTGTAAAAAATCAATAAAACAGCAGTAATAAAAAAAAAAAAAAACACGAATAAGGTTGACAAGTGAGTACCGCTCTGCTATACTGTAGTTATGAAGTTTGTCATTGTAATTGATGTGTTATATTTGAATCCAATGATAAATCATTACACACGAAAAACGATTCGGATGGGTTCTCCTATAAGTATTCAAATTCAATAATTAGAAAAAAAAATTTGAAAATATCATATGACTATAAATAGAGTAACTTTCCGGTAACCTTTTTATTTTTGTTTAAGGTCGAACAATTTCTGGGGAATCTTCTATTAAAATTAATAATATTAGTTACGGAAAGAAAAACTTTTATGAATTTCTAATTGAAAATAATTTGTAATTTTTCAAGATTTTGATGAATTTTGTCAAGAAAAGAAATTTTATATTATTTAGGCATTTATTTTAAATTAATTGTTTAATTTTATGACATATTGATTATGATAATTTACAAGTGCGATATGAGGGTGAGTTAATGAAAAATTGGAACGATGTTTACTGTATAATGACACAAAAGCGTTAGTAGACAAGACCTTTGTACACAGTCATTTCAGCCCATTTTCTATACACTGTTTCCAAAGAGAATATACCAGATTTACATAAGAAAACCGGTTTTACCCGTGCCCACCTGGTATGTTCTCTTTTGAAACAAGGTATAGGTGGGAAAGATTAGATTACTAAAAAATGAGCGGCAGCACAGCAAGCAAGCCTGGACATAAAAGTTAAGATTATTATCTAGGATATCTCTTATGATTTTTATTATATTTTAATTAAAATATAATTTACAAAGCGAGTTATGAGTATTTTAAAATTGTGAATTGTTTATACATCTTAATATATTTAAAACTCGCTTTTTATTATTTATTTTTTTATTTGTTATATACTTTTTGTACAATCTATCAAGTTATTTTTTACAATAAGCACAAGTGATGTTTGAATTTATAGAAATATTTGAAACAATTAATTTAATTAAATAAAACAAAATACATAACATATAGAACAGGGCGGCTAGTGGGAAGTGGGCATTCGTTGATGAAACTTCTTGTCATGTAAAGGTGGAAGTTAGTCATAACATAACTCGTTTTAAAATTAAAATATGATAAAGATATTTACTCTAATTACGAAATACTCTAATTTTTAAATTATCCTGCTGAGCATACAATTTGCTATGTTGCGCACTTCTATGACAAAGACAACGAATGTCGGTGTAACGTCCTCCCGAATTGCCCAACAGCGCACAGCTGCGAGAGCGTAGCCCCACCTATTGTGTAGCGCGGGCTTTAAACAATTTACTCGGCGGCCCAACGTTTAGAAGCGGAAGATCGTGGCCTCCTCGGCCGGTGTTTTGCACATTCACTATTACCGCTATTTTACACTTGTGTGCGACGTCGAGTGTTGAGCATCTATCGGCGGAGGCGTCGGGTGCAGGATTAAAAGGCAACGGCTAACTATTTTAGTTTATAAGTTATAATATTTTTTTTTTTTCATTAAATGTTATAAATGTATGATAATTGTTAATGTAATTATTATTATTATTATTATTAACAGAAGTAGTAGTAGTAGTACTGAATATTGTTATTATTTCTATGAACGCAGTAAAAGATAACATTAACCTAATGAAAAAAAATTACATACATGAACCTAAAATCAATAAATTATAAGGGTCAATTAAACATTTAAAAAAAAAAATTGAATAAGGGCTATCATTCATTAAATTTTGAACTTTGATGCAAGGTTAGTTAATGAGTCAAATCGACTCGAAAAAATTCGGTCAATCCAAATCATGTGCTCGAAATCGGTGTTAAATTAAAAAAAAATTCGTAGTGTTCCTTGCTCACACCGTAAATGTTAAACATTTTAAAATTTCACATATGCGCCTTATCTTTGATTGTTATCACTTAACTCACCCCCAAAATCACTACTGTATAAATATATTTGCTGTTGGCTAAGTGCAGCCTTTTACGGTTAGCTCAATGTCATCATTTGTGGTGATGGAAAGGTGGATATTTGCCATTGTTTGATTTTAAAAGCAGCCTGATGGGCCGTTGCCCGATTGTTTCCTTTAAAACCATTATTATATTTTATTAGCGCGAAAACTTGACTATTTTCATAATATTTTGAAGACTTATTTGATTGTATACTAATAAATTATTGTCACAGTAATTAATAATCGGAATATATTTATATTTAGAAGTGTGCGGAGAAGCTTATAAAGGTGATCGTGTGTGTATTTTACTATTTTATGATGGAAAAAAAATATAATATTATTCAATATTATTGTCTATACAATAATAATAATAAATACCATAGGCCCATATAAATTTATATCTAAAATCTGAGACGAGTACAAATTTAAAAAACAACAACCGATTGACACTCTTATTTATCATTGATTTCAGACTTCAGTTAACTTTATGACAGTCGTGCACGATGTAGTATCCTTTATTGCAGCGATTCCCAACCTTTTTAGTTGTGCTGACCACCAATCTTATAAAAACAACTTTGAGTTTAAGTTATCTTACAACTTTTTACAATCTTACTTATCTAATATACAGGTATACAATATAAATTATCCAAATAAAACGAAAGAAGAAGTATAGACATGTATAAAATCATATAAAAAGCTCGATGTTGATATCAGTTAAAATTTGTTAACCCTCGCAGGCTTTGACTCTCAACCAAGGTCTACGGCCTATTCCCACATTGCCCTTGGGCCATGGGTTGGAAACCGCTGCTCTATTGTATTGAATTTAATTAAATGTTTTCAATGTGTTTAAATAAATTTTTAATATCAACAAAATTAAAGTAATTAAAAAATATATAACTTGTGGTATGACCAAAAATTTTAGTTCATCGTGAAAATCGCACAAGAATCGTAAACAATTTCCAATATGTTTAGATAAACAGACAAAACATGAATCAGTAAGCAAGCAATAAAAATAACATTATTATATCTTAAAAAATAATATTGTTTTCAGAGTTATAATTTATATGTACAATATTTTTTATAAAATATCCGCAATAATATACACATTATATTTTCAAATGATGTGACGTAGTAAATAAAAAGTGTCGAATCGATTAGAGTAAATAATTTATCTATAAAATATGTGAGGTTTGAATGGAAACTTGATAAAAATGTAAGCAGATTTATGGTTGCAAGAGAAACGATCGGTTAAAGTTACCCATTTGCGGTGGTCAAAACTTTTGCTCCTCTCTATTGAAAACTAAAACGACTCCACCGAGTTAGTGCTGGCAGGCAGCCTACACTCCTCCGGGCGTTTCGCCTCACACCATTTTAGGTACAATATATGAATAAGCTAAAATAAATGTTACACGTTAATTTTGATATACCTAATATTAATCAAAAATGTGAATTGTGGTTTTAGGCAAACGAGCAAGCAAGTGTTGACTGCTCTGGAGCTGGTAGTCTGGTCGATGCTGAGCTGCTGGGCTGATCTGCCGTGTTTCACATGGAAGGCTTGAAACGACGCTGAACACAAAGGAACTCGAACCGGTATCGGGCAAAGTAGATGAATATTCTATAATGGTTGCACTAATGCGATTCAAACGGATGCAAATCGGTTGTTAATACATGATGCAATACTATGTTCACGAATTCTGTAAGCAATACACGTGGGTTACGGATTACATCACTGTACAGTAAGAGCATTATACAACTCGACGAGTAGAGACAACCAGACGACGACAGTCGCAAAAACATAATAAAAATGGCGACGCCGCTATGGAGCATCGGTGGCCGAATAGCAACGGTCTTCCGGGCGGCCAATGTTAGTCTGGCCAACTACAGACAGTGCAGCCAACTTCAAAAAGCTTTTGTAGAGCGTGATGGAGACCTATTCAAAGGTGCATTGAACACTTACTACTAAAATTACAAATTTTCAACTCGTCATAAAATAATTTGGCTGGTTGTACAGAAAACACAGTTTTTCGTTTTGAGTTGTTGCTGAGCATCTGTCTGTTGATCTTCTACTAAGAGTCTTTTGCACAATATTTTGAATAAGTTAACGATTTTTGAACTGGATTTCCTTCCGTTTATTGGTTTTTAAACAAGCTGAGCATATATTCTTCGTACATGTCCGTCGTTTAATGACATAGCAAAGTTTTTTTGAAATCCGAACTTAAACCGATCCCAAATTAAAATTGTTTTGCCTATTTCGCCAATAAAGTTCATTTTTATAAAATTATGTACGTATAATCAATAAACATATTATTTATGGCAAATGTTGCGCAAACGAAACTTACTATGTTTAACTGGCGATGATGGACTAATTTTAACTGATAATCAGTGATCGAAATTTTTAGTCTTTTTACATTCGACAAATTAATCTGTTTGGAAAATACTGAATAGTGTATATATAAAAAATAATTTTTTCATCATTACGGAAATCAATATAATAATCGATAGAAATTACACGTACCTACTAATACTAAAAATAATAAATATCTATGTATTAATAATAGTCTAGGTATGTTGTTTGTGGTAATTCGAGTTAACCGTTTGGGCAAAAACATCAAGAAGAAATTTGAGCGAAAAAAGATCACCTACCTAAATCTGAGAGGCAATTTGAGTGTCACCCAAAAATACGCGGACAGCACAAAAAATAATGTGGACAAAAACATCCCGGGCAGGTGCATTTCATTATACCATAAGTTATTGCATTGAATTTAGTTTCCTATTCGTAGATATTGTTTTTTTTATTTTTTAGAATTATTTGATTGAAAAATATAAACCGTGTGGTGTACCTATTTTCATTAATGAAATTAACATTTGGTGTAGTAGAGGTACGAATCGGTATTATATAATCGGTTCTTCTGATGGGTTCGATTTTCTACTTTCATACAACGATTTACTTAATATATTTAATTGTGCAGGTACCTAACAAGAAAATAAACTATTGTTAATTTGATGTATTTTGTAGTTATTACAATATTTTTCCGTTGTTGTCACGGCAGCCGCAATTGGTATTATTAATGTTCATGATAAATACTACAACGACCTCTGTCGATAACTAGAAAAAATTGTACTCGCCAAATCATCCTATAGGTGTCGCTGCTTATATGTTAACATTCCGCTATATCCTAAAATCAATGGTATTATTCACTATAAAAAAAAAATATACTGCTTCTAATTCTGTTAATATGAATTAAAAATCTTCTTTGTTTTCGATGTAGGAGAATACATCAAACAATACTAACCTAACATTTTCATCCTGTGGACGACCTTCTTTTTAAAGCAGTATGATTGTATTTGGTATGTAGCCTCAGCATCTACTAAATCGTATTCAAAATCAACTCTTTCCCTCACAATTTTATCGAGTTTGTCAACACTAAACCGAGCTTTTTTAATAAAATTATCTTTAATAGAAAGCATATTAACCTGGAAAATTTTCTCTGATTCTTTTTCAGATTTCTTCACACTTATTGAGAAATAAGCTGTGCTTGTGTTTGAAAATCAAATACACTTGTCCGTTTTTCAAAAAGGTGGACATTAATTAACTAAGAAATTATTTTCTTGAAAACGTTTGAATGTAACTAGTTCAACTAGCTTTTCTCAGCTAATTTAACAATACTTTATCAAGTTAAACAATTTTTGAAATTATTGTTTTTATGGTTCTATACGAAAATTTTTATATTAAAATAATAATAATCCAATACTATTATAATATAACATAATATACTACTTTACAAATGATTCTGTAATTTTTCTTGATATAATAATTTTTTTATAGGTGTATATTAAGAGATTAGATGAGCATAATATTATATTATCTTAAATTGCTATTTGGTATAAAAACATTAATACTGTTAAATTATTAATTGAGATGAGTAGGTATAGTTTGAATATTTAATAACCATGTAAAATAGGTAGATATACTGTTCATTACGGCAAAAGTTACAATAATTGAGTATTAAAATTTTGGAAAATTAGGAAGTATGCAGTCACTTATTTAAAAATAGTAGATGAACTTTTTTTAATCAGTGTTAGGTTAATATATTTTTCCATAAATTAACTAACATTAACTATTAGCTTATCGAATATCGAGTTGAATTTATAATTTGTTAACTGTAAATTTCTAACTTAACGTTCTCTTTGCTTAGGTAACTTAAGTTAATTATTTTCATTGATATTCCTACCTTTAGTTTTGTATGCGGTGAATGGTTTGATTGGTCTTCAGCGTTTTCATCACATTGTCTTTTAATTGCGTCAATGTTTTTCAAGCCTGTATACTTTTTACGGCACTGTACATAAAACGTCACCGAAACACTCTTAAAAAATGCAATGCATCTGTCGTCTCTATCATTAATAACGTTTTTTAATGTTTGTAAACCATGCTCAACATTAACAGTTTCACCGAATGAAGGCGGGTTTTTATAAATAAAACAACTATCCGCCATTTAGTAGGCAATTTGTAAAAAAAAGCCTGGGTGAGAACGAGTTAAAAAGTTATAGAAAAGTTAATTTTAATTTTTAACTTAACTTTTTTTAAATTTAATTTTCACTTACCTAATTTGTAACTTAACTGATTTTATTGATATAAAGGTTATAAATAGGTAACGAGTTACTTTTAATAAAATGTAAGTTACGATAATTTATAAAAAATTAAATAAAAAATATTATAATAAAATCAATATTGATGATGCAATGATGCATATTGTAAAAATAACTTTTTATTAAAACCATATTCCTAGTTATTTATATATATCAAAAAATAACTTATAGTTTAAGTTGAATTGTAAGTTGTCATAAAAGTTTTAACTTAACTAAGTTAAAAAAAAATTAAGACAGTTATTAACTTTATACTTTCCAAAATGTTTCCATCAACTCAACTCAATTAAAAGTTATCGTTAACATGCCCAGGCTTGAATATAATATATAAAGTATAAACGTACGAATTGCTCAAATAAATGAGTTCAACGGGCACAAAACAAATACTAAATCACGATGGATATTTACACAGAACACGACGATGTGGATGTTAGAACGGATCGGACACAACTAAATTTCGTACGATGGCGAACGTACTGGGACCACATAGGCTGCAGCTGTATCGGGCAGCGTGTATTGTTAAAAAAAATAAGAAGAAGATGCCTAAATAACATAATAACCGGTATTTGAATTAATAATATAATATTAACATTCTATACTACAAACAACTTTCTAGCTGGACCAGCGTCTAAATGCAACGTTTTAAAATATGATTAATCGAGTATAAAAGAAATGCATTCTTATTATCATTACATACTCGTAATTTTTTAACATTTCTAAAAAAAGTTAAAATACATACAAACATACACAGAACAAAATAACCATCTTTTAGATAATTTTTGTTCAACATTTTTTGTTGTACGACCAATAAAACGAGAGAAGTTCTAAAAAAAGTCATTTTCTTGACCTTTGACGCGTCATGATTTCGAGGTAAATTTTTTACACATTGTTTACGACTTTATAATTACGATGCCAAAATTCAGTATGATGGAATTTTTTTTCGTACCAAAGCCTAATTTTCTTTTAATTTGCCTGGCCTACGGATCATGACTGTGATAAAGATATGTTGAGAACCACTACGTCCAGTATAACGCGTATCGTTTAACAAAACCGGTTTTTGATTACCCTAAACGAGTAGAGTATTTCGGCGGTCGGCAATACTTGACCTTTTCTACCTCCCAGAGGTTCGTGGGCATTGATATAGTATCTGTCGTTCTTAGCAGCGACAGTGTTAATGGGGGATTGTAAATTCCATCGATTTTATATAGGTAGTCGATCTTAAGGTTATGTTTATAATATGTAAATTCCATCGAATATTTTACCTGGAAAGAATATAATTTCCACAGATACGTAATTTTTACCTGAAAAACACTATCGTCACTGATGCTAAAATTTATGGCTTTCAACATTTTTTTAATATAGTATTCAACTGTCGACAGTCTTATTTTTGAATCGCGGAAAAAAACGACACAGAAAAAAACGACACGGAAAAAAACGTCAGGTAAAAAACGTCATGGTAAAAACCGACACAGGTAAAAAACGTCACAGAAAAAAACGTCAAAAATATATTTTTATCTAAAAATCACAATCATGGTTTTTAAGTTTATTTATAAATAAATAATAATAGTTTTTAAAAACCACAAATATCGAATAGTATATAATATGGTATAATAGCTTTTATATAAAAATAAAAAATTATCAATAATTTTAAAAATCACAAATATCGTATAGTATATGCTATTGCCTTTAAAAAATTTGGAATATCTCTTTCCCCCCTTGAATATTCATTGCATATATTTTTTAATTTGTTTTGTAATTCTGCATAAATCTTTGATTTTTTTTTTCTTGGTAATGTTCCCAATGCATTTTGAGCTAATTTTGTTTCGTCATTCGCTACCTCCAGTCGTATTTTCGTTATCAATACCCATATAGAGGGATGGCAATGTCCCACTATCTTTGAAAATCTATGATTCCATCCCTCAGTTTCATTATTAGTCCGATCACCATCGTTCAATGTGATATTATGGACATTCCATACGTGAGGTGGAAATAAGGGTGGGCAATTCCGCAAGC